CATCTAAACAGATTAGCGTTAGTTGGCAGTTGCTGAATTAAATATTTTCTAGCAAATTTAAACAGAGTATCTGGCAGTAAATCGAGTTTCTTAGACCAGTTTGTTATTTGAGAAGATGATAATACGTTTGTTACCGACTTGATTAGGGAACCTTGACCCTGAAGCAAGACCACGTGATTTAGGGAAACAGCAATACGACCATCTTCAAATTTTTTTAGAGACTGAAATGACGTGGCTGAATTAGATAGCAAATTATCCACCATTTTGTAGTTTACCGCAGTTTCACGCCAAAGACAACGTATTTCATTATTTGAGTTTGTCTTGAAATAATTGCGGAGTTTTAATCTCATTCTCAACGCTGTGTCCTTGAGTGAAACAATATTGTGACCACCAAACTTTAAAGGTAGACAATAATAATAATAATAATAATAATAATAATAATAATAATAATAATAATAATAATAATAATAATAATAATAATAATAATAATAATAATAATGGGCAGATCTTTTATTTTTCATCAAATGCGTAAAATCAATAATTAATTAGTTAATATAAAAATAGTCATAATTAAAATGAAATCATAATCACATAATCATCATAGTTAGTCATCATTGCTCTTAATTTAAAATAAAATAAGTACAGCGATGATAAGATAGTTATGAAAATTGATTCACGCATTGTTCCGATCAAAATATATGGCATATGATGATGATATCACACTGCTAATTAAACTTTGGCGAAAATATTCGGTCCAGTCAATTTTAATTAAAGATAAATTGAAGGAATTGTAAAAGCTTATGGGCGATAATTCAAAAGAATTTATTAAAATGGTATAATGATTAAAATTATTCATCAGGTTGTTTATGAGATAGGTTGTATATTTGTCGAGTTTGTATTGCCTGGACTTGACAAAGTTTGTTTTGTGGCAAATAGTTAATTCAAGTATTTCATTCGTATTGTTGCTGAAAATGGTCTGGTCTAAGCGATCGGAATAGCTCTGATAGTGGACATGTCGCATCATCTTCTATTTCTGCGTAGGTGGCGATATTCGGACCAGCACATGCCTTGATATTGTTGATGATTATTGAGAGAACTTTGTTGTGGCGATTTAAGTAGTGTTTGAGTGCTGCCGTTGAACTACAATTTGAGAACACGTGTTTATTAGTTTGTCTCACGTTGCAAAGAAGGCATAATGCATTGGTTGTTTTGCCCCATCTTTGAAGGTTAGCATTTGTAGGCAGTTGTTGTGTAATTTATTTTCTTACAAATTTATAAAGGATTTCGGATAGTTTTATTGTCGATTTAAACCATCATGCAATCTCTGAGTTGTGGATATTTTCATTTACTGATATGACCAGAGCTCCTTGACACTGCAATATCGACAAGTGGTTCAGGTCCCTCTAATGGTGTTGTCGTTTGAGAGCTTCAAGTCCCTCTGCTTAATATCAACATTTTCCGGAATGAGATTGTCAACTTTTCTGTAAGTGTTACATGTTTCATTCCAGAGAGATTTTATTTCATCGCTTGCGTTTTGTTTAAAGTAACCACAGAGTTGCAGCCTCGCCATTTCAACATGGCACTTAAGCAATTTTACGTTGAGGCCTCCAGATTTGTAGGGCAGAGAAAATATTTCTGCGACGCAGCTGCTTACTCATGGTCAGCCAATTTCTCACGGTTTCTGTTATCAGATGGCCTAATGTATTTTCTATCCATGTCAATAAAATGTCGTACATACGAAGTTCAAATATTAATTGGGATGGAACAAAGCGTCTTAGAATTTCAAGTTTCCACTGGACGGATGTATCTAATTCATCAATGTAGTAATATTCGTTTGAGTTTACTATGTAGTAAAGTCATAAAGTCGAAGTCATAAATTTTTCCAAAATATGTGAAATGATCATTGATGTTGATCTGAGGGATCGTCTCGTTATCTATTGTTAAGTTTGGGAGAAATTGTTCATATCTTCCGTCGATTTTTTGCATCCCAAATGTACAACATTTATCTATTCTCATCCTCATACCTGTCGATCGGCACCAAGTTAGATTGAGATCAATCAGTATTTTGGCTCCCTCTGTACTGTTTGCAATGATTGCTGAATAGTCAGCAAATTGGAGCCAAGGTCGTGACTAGGCTAGCAATTTGTTCCCAAATGTATCCGCATTGTTGGTAATATTTTTAATGTAATACTTCCATTAGAGGATTGAAGTATAAGTTGAAAAGCACGGGGGAGCTGGGATCGCC